GCTTTTTTCTGTAACTAAGATTATTTCTTTGGGATAGAATTCCAGAAAATCAGAATTATAGGTTAAAAGGATATGCATGTTTTAAGCCAAATTGCTTTCCAAAAGGATGTTCCAATTTGCATTGCCTCCAGCAACAGGGCAGGAAAGTGCCATATCTGTTTGCCCTTGAAGGGGAGCAGGCCGTTTCCTCTAATGGGTTCCTTGGCTTATTTCCAACAGGTACAGGTACGAGAAAGGAGCAGAAGTGGACTTCTGGTAGTGCAAGATTCCTCTGTCTCTTCAGGTCTCAAGTTATATCAGCCGCTTTATCTGGTGGCCTGTGTTCAGGGCCTCACTAGACAGAGTCTAAGTAGGAACAAGCCATCTCCATCCACAGCCATGAATTTCCTCCGGAGGCGCCTGTCTGACAGCAGCTTCGTGGCCAACCTGCCTAATGGCTACATGACAGACCTGCAGCGCCCAGATAGCTCCACCAGCTCCCCCGCCTCCCCAGCCATGGAGAGGAGAGCCCAGCCCCTGGCCGCCTCCTTCTCCTCCCCAGGATCCAGCCTTTTTAGCTCCTTCTCCAGTGCCATGAAGCCAACCTCGCAGGCTCCCTCAGGTTTGATGGAGCCTCCACCTCCCCCTACACCTGTTGTTCAAAGGCCCAGGGTCCTCCTGGTGATTGATGATGCCCATACAGACTGGTAAGTCTAAGTCTGCAGGTGCTTGGCCACTTTCTGGGATAAGAGATGAGGTAGGGGTTAGCTCACCTCTTGGGAGGGATAGAAGGGAAGAGCTATGAGAGGCTCAGCTGGTATCAGAGCCTGACTGGAGGGAGGGTAATGAATGTTTACTAAGTGGCTTCTGTATTCCAGGCACCATAGTGCCTACTTTGTGTTAGACTTCCTTCTTCATTTTTTTCTTTTTTATTAAATAATTTTTTGTTGTTGTTAAAATTCAAAGAACACAACATTTGCCAATTGAACATTTTTCACATGTATAATTTAATAAAACCTCTTACATCAATCATGTTGGGTGTTGTTGTTAGGTGGCATCGAGTCAGTTCTAACTCATAACGACCTTCTATGTACAACAGAACAAAACACTGCCTGGTCCTGAACCATCCTCAAAATTGTTGTTATTTTTGAGCCCATTGTTGCAGCCACCATGTCAATCCATCTTGTCATGTATCTTCCTCTTTTTCACTGACACTTTACTTTATCAAGCATGATGTCCTTCTCCAGGGACTGGTCCCTCCTGATAACACGTCCAAAATACATGAGACGAAGTCTCGCCATCCTCACTTCCAAGGAGCACTCTGGCTATATTTCTTCCAAGGCAGACTTGTTCATTCTTCCAGCAGTCCATGGTATATTCAATATTCTTCACCAACACCATAATTCAAAGGCATCAGTTCTTCTTCGATCTTCCTTATTCATTGTCCAACTTTTACATGCATATGAAGCAATTGAACATACCATGGCTTGGGTCAGGTGCACCTTAGTCCTCAAAGTGATGTCTTTGCTTTTTAACACTTTAAAGAGGCCTTTTGCAGCAGATTTGCCCAATGCAATACGTCATTTGATTTCTTAACTGCTGCTTCCATGAGCATTGACGATGGATCCAAGTAAAATGAAATCTTTGACAATGTCTTATTGGGTAACCATCACTGATGTCCATTGCCAAATTTTCCATCCCCGTAAACAAAACTCAGTGCTACCTATACAATGATTCCTCCTTTCCCTATTCCTCGTGCTCCTGGTAACCAATGTTAAACTCTAATCTCTATACCTTTGCCTATTATAGTCATTTTATACTAGTGAAGTCCTACAATATTTGCCCTTCTGTGATTGACTAATTTCAGTCAGCATAACGTTTTCAAGGTTCATCCATGTTGTGGCATGTATCAGGTCTTCATTTCTCTTTATGGCAGAGTAATAGTCCATTGTATGGATGTACCACATTTTGTTTATTCATTCATCAGTTGATGAGCATTTGGTTGTTTCCGCCTTTTGGATATTGTGAATAGACTCTCTTCTAAGAGCTCTACATTTACAAATGTGCAATCCCTCACCTGCAACTCCAAAGTCCAAAAAGCTCTGAAAACTAGAAAATGTTTTGTTACCCATTTGGTGGCAAAGCTTGATCTAACTGTAAGTGAGGCTGTGCTAGTCTTAATTAGACCAGGGTGCTTATTCATATGATTTGCTGCAAACATCTTAATGTGTTTGATATGAGGTATTGCCCAGACCCCATTGGAGGTGGAATGTAATAGATAGTATATGCAACCGATTACCTTTCTAAAAATGGAAAAATTCTTAAATCTGAAATGCATCTCTCAAGTTGCCTAACTTTTTCAGCCTTAACCACCCCTCCTATAAAATGGGGTTGCTATGAGGGTAAAAGAAACCAGTACAGGTCCGCAGACTTTATTCAAAACCATTGGGATCATAGTGCCTAAGTTTGCATCCCAACACTGCCATGTACAGGCAGTCTGGATCCATAGCCTGTCCTCCTAACCCCAGAGGTGAGCAGAAATGACTTGCCTTCCTATACTCAGGCAGAGCCCACTAGATGGTAAGTTCCCCAAGGGCAGGGACCTGACCTGTATCAAGTCATCATGGCAAGTGTTGAGTGGATAGTTACTGAGCACCTATTCAGTGCCAGGCATGGCCCTAGATGCTCAGGTATAGAACAAAATAGATCCCTGCTCACATGGAGCTATAGTTGGGAAAGAGGTCTCTGTCATGGATTGAATTGTGTTCTCCCAAAATATATGTTGGAATCCTAACCCCTATACCTGTGAATGTGATCCCATTTGGAAATAGGTTTTTCTTTGTTATGTGAATGAGGCTAAATCAGTGTAGAGTGTGTCCTAAACCTTATCGCCTCTGAGTTACAAAAGAGCGGATTAGACATAGAGACAAGCACATACTGGAGAAGACAGATGCCATGTGAGGATCGTCAAGAACCAAGGAAGGCCCAGGGCTACCAATAAGGAAGGAATAGACATGGGTGAGAGCCTGATTTGGACTTTTACCCTCTAGAACTGTAAGAAAATAAATTTCTGTTCTTTACAAGCCATCCATTTGTGGTATTTCTGTTACAGCAGCACTAGGAAACTAAGACAGTCTCTATCCTAAATTTTTGGTAGAAAGATATAATAAATATTACCAGTCTAGCTGAAGACACAAACTTTGCAGCCCAGGGAGGATGCTCACATGTGGAGACAGGAAAGCCTGGGACAAGTGAGTGCATTAATGGGTGCCAAAATGGTTCTGACAGTAGACCCATGGACGGCCACTTGGGTGGAGGACAAGGTTGTGTGCACGTGTCTCCAAAGGCTGCCATATAGTAACCCCTTGCCATCGAGTCAATTCTGACTCATAGTGACTCTACAGAACAGAGTAGAACTGCCCCATAGGATTTCCAAGGAGCAGCTGAGGGATTCGAACTGCTGACCTTTTGATTAGCAGCCGAGCTCTTAACCACTGTGCTACCAGGGCTTATGCCATATAGTAGGCAATAAAATTTGTTAAATGAATAAACGAATGCATCCAATTCACTGACCATGCCAGATTACCCTGTTATTCTAACATGCACCTGTAATCACATTCGTTCTTTTAGAGGTTAAGTCGGGGCTATAGAAAGACAATAGATAATGGTTTGGGAATGGTTAAGCCTATGCAGTGCAGTAGGATCTATGTATAACTTCTAATACATATGCAATATAGAGTCCACATTAAAGCATGTTTACTGGTTAAACCACCAGTCTTCTCTTTCCTGCCAAGAAATCACTTCATCTTAACCAGGATGGTCATGTGAATGGCCTCTGTTCTGATCCAGTCTGAATCATCTTCGGTGTTGGGGTGTCAGCTTCTGCTTGAAGGCTCTTATTATGAAGCCTTGTTTAGCTCTGCTCAGGTGTTTATGTAAAGCATGGTCTTTAGGTTCTGGGTTTAGGGACTGATTTCTGCAGAGATGTTGCTTCCAGGCATGCTTCTCTGTACAATGCTGTGTTCTGTTCCACCTGGCTGCGCCCTTGCAGTACTCTGTCTGCATTTAACCCAACCCTCAACCTTGATTGAGTTCTCTGCTGACTGTGTTATCCCCAGCTTAGTCAGGGTTTGCTGTGCTGTGGTGTTGGGAAGAGTAGGTCAAGTAGGTTACTTCCTGCGTGGAGGGTGAGCACGAAATAAATGGCAGTATGGTGCAATCGTTAAGACTACAGACTTTGGAACTATGCTGTTTAGGCTCATATCCCATCTCAAACTTACAGTTGCTATATGACCATTGGCAACTTACTGCACCTAAATGGGAATAACAATAGTACCTCCCTCAAAGAGTTAATATGTGTAAATCAGGTTAACATCTGAGTTAATATATGTAGAGTACTTAGAAAATGTCCAGTAGACAATAAGTGCTATTTAAGTGTGTATTATTATTGCAGACTATTGTGACCCTTCCTGTGCAATGTTAATTACCATTTTGACAGCAGCCCCTCATAGGCATGCCTGTTTAATTTCAGGCCCAATATTGGGCAGGCTGGAATAGGATTTGCCCCATTGTGCTGGGGTGTTCTATTGGTTGCTCTCCTCTGCTAGCTCCTGGGTGATAAAGTTGGATCTCTTTTCCCCCAGTGCTTATATGGTGTGTAGCATAATGTAGGGGCACATTGAATGAGGTTGAAATGCAGTGAATGGCCTTGGTTAAGTATCGTTTGAGTTTTGACTTTGGTCTTCAATGTCTTGTAGAGTAACAACTTTCACCAAAGCCTTCTGCAACAAAGAGATCTTTATGGTGACACATCAGAAAACAAAAATGGGAAGTTGGCTACAAGCACTCAGACTATAAGCAGACCAAAATCCAAAGAAGTATAATTTTCAGGTGCTTTTTATACAATTTTGACAAATGCTGAATCATTATGAGTAAGGGTCTTTCAACATGCCCTTTGCAATCATTGGAACATGTACTTATGAGTAAGTTACTTACATGGTCTGATTGGGTAAAGACAAAGAACTAAGTTCATGATTGGGTGACCTTTTCTTGTTTTCTTTTCCTAGACTTGGTCTCTTGGCTCAGGGGTCCTGGGTCTATCATGATGGTTGTTTTTTGTTATGTGGGCTACATATGGTATTGGGTAGATCCTTAACTCGCTTCTTGGGGTAAATTGTTATTTAGTTTTGGTATGCATGTCCATAGTCCACTGAACTGATTACAGCACTCTGTTCTGCCCTTTGATGTAGATTTTTATTCTTTGAAGTTCTATAGATCCTGACAAACAAGTTGGCTTTTGTGTTTATGGCCTGCTGTGGTTAGGTTAACTCTTTTTTAGTCTCTAATCCAAAAGAATGACTAATGTGGGAGTTTTAGGCTGTACACACTAGTGGGGTACATACTTGGCCAGAGGAGTTTCTCCCAGTATATATCAACCATGCTGCATTTGAATTAGGTCTTGACAACAAAAATCTTTGGTTTATGGAGTTCTCCTTGCCCCTTGGTCAGTAAAGTGGGATAGAAGTGAGAATCTGAGACTCATGAACTCAGTTGGAAGTTGGCTCCACATTCATTGGGTGTTTGTGATAGAGACTTCCTACCCTCAGACACATCAGCTTCTCATACAGACCCTCATCCTAGGTTCTTCACAAATTTCCTAACTTCTCTGAATCTCTGTAAGTTTCCAACTTTCTCCAGATTGATGCTG